GAACCGCTTAATCTCTACTCGACCTCCTTCCGTAAAGGCGGAAGAGCGACTAGTAGATTAACAGCACGATGGTAGCAGGACACCGCCAATATTATTGTGAAGTGTACAGGAATATACCGACATGGACATAAGTAGAAGTTGTATGTGCATCTGCGTTGCCTATACTACATGCCGCAAACGAAAAACGCACGACAAAACCGAAATCAACGAACTATCACTCTTGACTGAAGCAAATCCACGAGTCGGAAGATGGAAAGACCCATGTTCAACCCACCGGTGTTTAATGGCGAGAAGTCATTCAACGATGGGCATTATAATTTGGACCAGGTTGCAAAGATTAGTAGATAGAACGACCAGCGTAAGTTGCAGTAATTAGCAGTGTCCCGCAGTGGCAGAACGAGAATCGTTTGCCGTTCGATGCCAGTTGAGGACGTTATGTCGCTTAGTCGCATGGCAAACGACCAATAAGGATTAATGGACCCGCCATACAAAAGCGCTATGTTCGAAGGCGAGATGGAAGCGCTACGTTTGTAGTCTCATGAAAACTGAAGGAGAAAACCAAGCATATAACGGTTTGTTGACAAAATAGACAAAGGGGCGAGAGAAACTGTCCCCCCCCCCGAATACGATTTTTTACTGTCTTGAGCAGGAGGAACCAATTTTTCTTGTCTTGTTGAATAAAACGGTGGCTTGAATGTCGCTCATTCGTCTTAGATTAACGCAAAATTTTTATAGACGCGAAAGCGTAGCTACCCATGTCTATCTTAACAGAATGATTGAGCTTTAAATAAGTACGCACTTTCCTTCGATTTTATCTGCCTTAGTCAATGCTGTGCTACACCATAAATTCACCTTATATCATTGATCGAACACTTCTCAATAACTACGGATGTCATTCTATGGGAGGTACACAAAAAATATTGAGCCTGACTGTAAATCAAACGTTAGGCAACATCCTCAAATTTCACATACATCGCATACAGTTCATTACATTCAAGCTCAAGGTCGTTGTGTTCTATCAAAATTCGGTAGTGGGTGGATGTATTTCAACTGATTTGCTACTAAAGTGTTCAAACTGAAAGGGAAAACGTATTTACGCACAATAAATATTTATAAATTTAGATTTAAAAGCTGTCCAGTGTGACTTAGTTCGAGTGAACATCCAGTAATTTCAACTATTACTAATTCTTCTCCTGAGGATATATACGCGACCGTCCATTTGTTTGTTTCGTCGTTCTTTCTTTCTTGCAACCTCCTTGTTCTTAAATTAATTCCCTTGGATCGAATATCAATGTACCTTACGGTGAAAAGCCTATATTTGTGATTCTATTCAGCAATGGAAGGATCCATGCAGTTTGTTAATTGTTCCGTACATTGTGCGGTGCCATCTTCCAACGCCTCTGTACAGGCTTTTCACAGCAGGCTGAGAAAGGCAACTTCCCGGTAATTCGAGTAGTCCCTATGATTCAAGTTTATTCACGGGGCTACTATCACTCTAATTCTCCAGTGTGCTAGTGCTTTCCACATTGGCACTGGTACTTTTTCAGTTATAAAGCGTCCTTTTCACTACCTAGAATTTTCCAGCTTCTGCCATTTGATCTACTGAAGGGTGGCATTTGCTCATGATGCTTTTCATCCGATTCTCGTTGTTCCTGCTTGGTATTATATCTAGGTCAGAGTATGTCCTCTTCCATGATAATAACCGCTGAATTTGTATTTCACGACTCTTATACCGAACTTATTTTTATCTCGGAGGTGGCAATGGACTAACAGAACACATTGCTTTCCGTCCATATATTCGACTCCACCACTTAACCCATTTTTCCCACGAATCGGCCTCTGCTTCAGTTATCGATTCGCTGTAAAGACCCCCTGCTTGTTAGCCCTTCTTGAATGCACCCTTTTCACTGAACGCCAGTTGATACCTTTGATTTCACCAGAAACTTCGCATATGACGACCGTCTAGCGGTTCAGCGCATTTAACCTACAGAAATACGCCCCGCTCTTTCACAGCTGCTACAACGGAGTCATCACGGGTATTTCTCAGCGCTCATGTAATGCTGTTTAAAAGTTTTTCCTCGTATCTGCAGAAATTATATTTCCCATTTGATTCCGTGGTGGCTTCTGTATTTTAGTCTGCTACTCACTCGTTTGCAGTGCAGGTGATGATCGATCGACCACCCTGGCCACGTCGTAATTCAGGCAATACGATTATGAAATGAATCATCAAGGTTCCATAGACTTATGCTGGTTTCAGTGCTCGAACATATTAATAACAGACAATGTGTTGTTTGCCTATTACGACAACCTTTGCAAATCATCATTTAGAAGATGGCTGGGGGAGTTCTTCCCTAAAAACACCAGTGCAAACCATCTAATATTAGAGAAGGTTCAGAATGCCAGAGCCCTGACGTTTCGCTGAAGAAGGTCCGACTATATACCGTCAGTTCTTTGCGGTCTCATCAATAAACTGGTACTGTTTTTCTCTGAGCGAGTGGACTTTCACATTTCTCACTAAGAACACTCTCTGCTGATATGATTGCTGTTGAACTTTACGTAGCGTGCTATATTAGGAATACTATGTGTAAGTGTATGAAATTATATTAACTAGTATTTCGCTTCGGTTTTAGCTAAAGGCAGATTGATAATAACCAGAAAGCTTTAAAATCACATGAAAGTATGTAGCAGGAAAGCGTTAGATACAAAATTTAAAAAAAACGAGAAAAATAATACTCACTGGCTTCTGAAAACTGCTTCCTGTGAAGAGTAACAGTAAACCCACGTTTACAATCTAAAGAACAGATTATATAGGATTTGAATGCCATTTACGTAACCGGTTCGTTTAATCGATTTGCCGGCGGCATCTTCAGCCACGTTTTTGATTGGATGTGCAGACCTCATTCAATGAGATATGTACGTCCAATCTTATCGAATTCGTTCAATCAATTGATAGATAAGAGGAAGGGGAGAGATGAAAATGAGATGTAAAATGAGCAGTGGATGTGAGGGGCCGCCCACCGCATTTTAATGCTGGTTAGGGCAGCGAGAGAAAATACGGCTGGGACGAATCCCTAGACAACCCCCCGGGACGATCACGTATGTGAAAGTCCCGTACCCATTCACAGCTGGGTGAACTGGTGGCGGGTGGAGAAAGTTAGATTCCGATCTGCAATGGAACCACCGTCTGCACACTTCATGACCAATGCCCTAACCATTAGGCCACCGCCACAAGTTCACACTTTCTACAAGAACGTTTATATATTACGCATGGATATGTGTTCATGAACAGGTTGCAAGTAGCCTGGCATCGTTAGTTGAACGATGCCAAGAGCAAGCTTTATATGCTCTAATTAACTGTCAAACTTGTATAATTTCAGTGCAGTGGTGGTAAATGCGTGATTAAAAAAATGGTGTTTTTTATGGAACTTGACGTATATCCATCAGCGGATTAAGTTTTCTACCTTTTTGTCTTTACACTAAACCGATTGCATTCGAGTTGAGGATATATGTCCAGTGAGTTTGATCTGCGAGCGGGCGCATGTGATATGTGAGCTGCGAAGGACAGTCCTTCGAAGGACCCTGCTTATGTTGATCGAGAATTCCCAAATCCAGTGCTTAGGACAGTTAATAAAAATTTTATATTAGAAACTCGCGCAAGAAATTATCATTAGAAAATCGTATGGAATGGGCTGAAAGAGAGGATTATGTGTAGACGCACAGACGGACCTTGCTGGGCATCCGGAATTTTTTTGTTTGAGTGCGGTCTTTGATGCTCGTCCTGCTGAACAAGCGCTGCTTGTCTAAGTTGAGAAGTCCCAGCTTCTATAGTTTAGGACTTTTGGGAAGAAAATCAAGAACAGCTATACTTGTTCAATCGACTGGCATAAGCCTTCGGGAATGGCTAAGAATATCCATGGGCAAGCGTATCGAAGGACAGTACTTCAGACTCTAATTATCTTCTGCCTATGTAGAAACATCAGTACAGGATTTACATCGTTGGAAACATTGAATGACAAATCTTCTTCCGCGATATGAAATAATAACAGGCAATCTAAAACAACCCAAAGACTGACTGATACCCAATTTGAAGCTAAATTTCGAGACCTCGCTATGGTATGTCCGTACCTGATGACAATGGGTCAAGCCATCTGAGTTTTTTGGTCATAACGTATTAATTTTCAATTGCTGCTTATGTCTGATTTAAGAAAATATTTGCGTTAAGCCATGATGACTTTGCATCATTACATGTTTTGTATAAAGAGATAAATGTGCAACCGGAGTCGGTAGTCATGGCAACAAGCAAAACATCAGGCAACTATTACTCAGGATTCTAATCCATCTCGATGACACATTTCGGCGGAGTCGGAACAGGCATAATTGTACTGATCGTCTTATGGATCGCATGTCTCATCTTATCTTCTGTGCTGT